ACACACACACACACACACACACACACACACATACGCCGGCGCTAATCGAGCACGTATTCGCGCTATCGAAGCACTTACTTACACCCGAGCACTTTCAGTAACGTCCTACGGGGAATGGTCGTCCCGGCCGCGCGGCGCCCGCACACTGCAGCGCGGCGGAGCGCAGAGGGCGCCGCGTCGTGTTCCACCAGCGCATTAGCGCCCCCTGCATCATCGAACGCTGACCGGCCCCCGAACGGCCCGGCGCAGTCATTTTCGCAGGAACGCCCCGCCCCGCCCCGCCCCGCCCCGCCCCGGGTAAATGATTACGCGGCTGGTGTGGGGCCGTGTACGTTATTGCGGGGCTAACGATTCACGACAAGGCGCCCCATTCGTCGGGGTTACTGTTTGTCACGAGGTGGGCCCCGCCCCGCCACGCAATGTGCCGGATCCTCGCCGGGGCGGGGCGGGTCCTCCTCCCGGGCGACACGCGCCGCCCGCGACCGACACATCCCGCGCTGAGCAGGCTGCGGCTGCGAGCGGGCGGGTGCAGAACACGGGCCGCGGGGCCGGGGAGGCCACGGGGGGGACCATTCCGTAATACCGTTTGATTTGTGAACCACGCCGTCGATAACTCCTCTGCGGTGCAGCAGTTCACCGCCGCCGCCGCTGGTTCAGCGCGCGGCCTGTCTAACGGCGCCGATAGGCTTTTGACTCGCCGGGAGGACGGGTGCGGGAGGGGGGCCTAGCAGCAGCAGGAGCAGGGAAATTTAAAAGCGATTAAAGTTTTGGGTCGTAAGGCATCCTCCCGTTTGATTTAACATTGGGACCGGGAGCGAGGCTGGCCGCGCGGCGGGCGGAGGGAGGGGACGTGAGCACACCGCACACCCGCGGTACCGGTAGTCGCACTCTCATTAACAGAGGGGGAGGTGCGAGTGCATTTAAGCAAATGACGTATTATTTCCGCGCAGCTTTCTCGCCGGGGCGGCCGGGCCCCACACCACGCCCCGCCGGACCACGTCACGTCGTTATTGGAAGCAGATTATTGCGGAGCTTTTCCGGTCCCCCCTCGAAACCAAAGCAACTCGCCATCATCACTCGTGGCCGGCGACGGCGGCGGCGTCGGGCGCGCTGTCAACCGGCAGCCGCCCCGTCACGACCCGTCACAGCAGCCTGTCACGGCCCGTCACGCCACACGACAGACGCGCCCGCGCCGTCGGCAGCCGTTGGCAGAAGTTGTCGGCGCGAGGTAATTAAAAGCCGCCCGCCGCTCCCCGTCACGTGTACCAAGGAGTGTACGTCGGTCTCGATTAAAACGGAAGGTTGTTTCGTTGTTTCTCTCGTCTCTCGCGGAATCATCCTGAAATTCGTTATAATGGAGATTCGCGGTTTCGCTGACAAATCAGGTCGGAGCAGCAGAGGCGGTGCGGCCGCAGCGGAGGGGCCGTGCAGTACGCGGGGCAGTCGGCGCCGGCCGGCCGTGGACGAGCGGGGCGGGGCGGGGCTCATCAGAGCGGCCGGGGAAGATTGAGGAAATTGCCGCCGAACTGAAGATGTAAGTGTAAGAGCCATTTTGATCGGGTAATCGATCTGATGGCCCCCCTGGTGGCGGCGCCGCCTCGGCCGCCGCCTTGGCCGCCGGCCCGTTTGGGAGGAGGGAGAGAGAGAAGAGAGCCAAGGCCGACCGAGCATCGAGGCCGACCAGAAAACTTAATTATGTCACCTAGCCCCGCCCCTGCCCTGCCCACGGAGCCAGCGGAGCCTCGTCGCCGCCGCGGGGCCTCGGCGCGTCAAAACAGTCCCCCCCCCCCTCCTCCAGCAGATAGTTTTCTTCTTTCTCCGGGGGGCGGCGGGGCTCCCTGCTGCCTAAGGCGGGGCAGGAAGGATCCAGCGCGCGGGGAGATGGAAATGATCAATTTAGGGACAGCAGTATGAAAAATAAAAATAATAAAAAGAGCAGTGGTGGGTGCTGTCTCTGCCTTTATCTCTCTGCCCGCATTGAGGGCGCACGGCGGCCCGGGTCAGGCGCCCTAACGACCAAAAACGCTTATTAAACTGCACTCATCCGC